TCTGATCCTTTTACTCCTTTGTAGACTTCCTCTAATTGATAAGCAGTGTGGGTAATGAATCTTCTCGTAGAGGGACGTGATGTAGTCTGGTTTTCTTTTTCACTAATCAACCTTGTATTCCTAGGTACTTTGAAAAGGGGGCTGTAGAGGTTCAGAGGAGTTCGAACAGTTACGGGCTCCAGCTTTTGTGTAAGAAAGAGGTTTTCTTGGTGGCCAGAAGGGCTAATTCTTCGGTCATGGGCCAGCTGCATCATAACAGTAATAAAACTATGAAGGAAAACAGAAATACAATTGTAGGTTGCCTCGCTTCTGCAGCCATAGAGGCATGTCCTTCTTTTTTCCCATGCTACCTCTAATTGTTAGGGTCTTCCTTAGCGAATGAGCCTTTGATAGTCAATAACATGACTGTTCATAGTTTTTACGATTTTTGTACTTGTAAAAATGAAAGAGGTGGAGAAATATCCATTCAGTAACTTCATTAGACACAAAGATTCATGGCATCACTTAATTACCAACCTCTTTTATTATTTATATTATAGTTTAAAAGAGAACTTACCTGGTGACCTGTATTTCAGATTAGAAAAGGGGCAGATTGTGATTGTAAGAAGTGGACAGAGATTAAATTTGAGGAGGAAAAAAAGGAGATACAAAATTCCAAAGCAAAAATATGTGAATTTGCTGGTGACTGATTTTGCTCCCAACATGTGCATTTTTAATATTTTTTCCCAGATGAAGGCATATTTGCTTGACATGCGCATGTGTGTTTGCTGTGTATTATGAGAAAGATGTGGAAGGACGTAGGAGTGGGAGAACATGTAGGAGTATAATCAGGAGGCCGGGAGTAACTCAGATTTGTATTTTTTAAATAATAAATGGCTTGTTTCATATTCTCTAAAAGCACAGACCAGAAACACAGGATTTGACAGTACTCGTCAAACCTCTTCGCTCTGTGATAGAATCACAGAGCGGTAGGGGTTGGAAGGGACCTCTGGAGATTTAGTCCAACCCCCCTGCTAAAGCAGACTCGTCTAGAGCTGGTTGCTACAGCAGGTTAGAGCAGTGGATACTGCTGGAGTTCTTGACATCTGGTCTGAGGTAACAACATACCTAAGGAAAAGATATTTTTACTTGCATGCCCATCTATTTACCGCTCTCTTCAGATTCGTTGTGGCCCTGTGCCCTTTGCTTAGCTCGGAAGTTGAAATTGGTACTTCTGCCTTACTTGAAAATACTTAGATTAATGAAGTAGTGACATTTATAGGTAGAAGTTTTTAGACCACCTGATAATTTTGAGGGATTTTTAAATTATTTTTAGATACTAAATGCAGAAGTTACTTTTACTCCTCTGAAGAATAAGGCGACTTGCCTCTTTTTTCATTAGCTTGCCCCTGTGAGTCATCTTCTTGTTTTATCCAGATCAGCATATAAAATGCCAAGACTTGGAAAATTTGCAGACATGAGTCTGCTCAGCTAGAAAGAGTCCTCAAAGGAAAATTTGGCTTGGTGTTCTTGTGTATGTGTTTGCCATGATGGAGAATTTCATTTTTCCAATCAGTAAAAAGGTATTTAATCATCATCATGAGGATCATACCAAAGCTTGGGGGAAATCAGAGGATGAACTAAACTATCATTAGCTTTTGGTGTGTTTGCGACTGGCATTTTTGCTATTCCTACAGGTAAGCAGAATTCTTTTGCAGAAGTTCTTGTTGAATTACTGAGTTTGAGAACAATATAGTGTTTGCCTGTGCTGTTTTGGGCAGATTAAATGCAGGTAAATTTAGATTTCTTAACTATCCAGTCCAAAAATTTGGCCATCTTATGTATTTTGTTCTCAGAATCTTTATTTAAGTTCCCAATCTGTTATATCTTTAGGACACTGAAAAAGTGAGAACTGAAGTTTGCATTTCCTCTGTGCAATGACATTGTAGAAGTAAGAATGCTTTCAGAGCTTTCCTTTTTGCTGTATACTGTAACAACTTGTGTAATGAGCTTCTTTAATTAGAATTTTTTCGAGGACATTTCTTTTAGCTGTCTTCATTGAAGTATTTTGCATTTATCTTCCTAGACAGCTATCATTTTGAATCCTTTGCCTTACAGATTTGTTTTTCTGGAAGAATATCTGTTCCAGCGTCTGTATGGCTAATCATTCGGAGACTGCTTTAGTGACTGATTAGAACTTTGTCATCTATAAAATCTGTTCAGTCTTTGCTCATTTGAAACCATGATGTATGTAAATTCTTTGAGTCTGCTGCAGCACACAATTTTTTTTTTTTACCTCTGCTCAGGTTTTTGGCTCCATCAGAATGGGAGTCTGAATGTGATTCTTGGAGAAACTTGCAGAGGAGTACTTAGTGAAATATGTACTGAAGTGGTGCTGGTTACGAGCTCCAAAATCTGGAAGTTCTGTGAATTATGTATATCTTCTGTGTATTGTATGTGAGATGGTCTCCATAACACCTCAAACTTGAAGCAGGTCTGTTGTCGTATGAGTCTTTTTTGCATATCATGTGAATAGGAGAATGGAAGACTTGGAAACAAGACCAGTCACCACTTGGAAAATAATATGTGCTGTAATGTTAGAGAAGCTGTTCAAGTCAAAAGATAGATGTGCATGTAAGTGAATCTGGTATGTTCATCCTGTAGGATGATGTTGCTTAACACCTGTACATAGGGACTGTGAGAATTCTCAATGCTAATGGTGTAATCCTGCCTCAGACCCAGTTTTTCTGGTCATGTTCCAAAAGAATCATGGTACCAATCTACTCATACAGAATAAACGCAAACTTATTGCAAGTAATGGAGAAGAACTAAAGATAGTTTTAAAACCTTTGATATAGGGGAATTTGCTGCTGTTCCTGGTTTTGAGCATTCAGAACATGTGCTAAACCTGATTTGATACTTAGCGTATAAACCAAACAAGCAGTTTAAGAGTTCATAAGAATCTTTCTTTCAATCTGGTAGTATTGTCATCTTTGGTTGATTATCGTATGTTTAAATGTTGGCCACTGACCTCCCCCTACAAATGTGGGAAGATAAGCCTTCCTGTTCATAGCTTCACTGGTTCTTCCCATGGATTTATAGGGGATCAAGTAAGAACAGATACTTTGAATTAAGACACACCACCTCTTGTTGTTAGGATACCAGCTGAATACCACCTGACAACCTGTCAAGGAAATGCCCATCGTTTGTGTGTTGGGTGACTCAGATTCAGAATGGAGTCCAGATACAAGTTGTGCAAGGACCTTTGGGGTTTCCCTCTAATAGTGATTACAGGCATCTGTTTGTGTCAGTACTGTATAAAGTACTTTCAGGTTGGTGGGTGGGGGTGCTAATTTTTGGGGCATGTCTTCCAGCTTATATTCATGCTGACTTTATGTCTGTATAGTTCTTTGTTTCAGTCAAACCTGATGTGCAATTCCATTCTCTAATGAAAAGTTACTTCCATGCCTTGTTCTATAAAACATGTAATGGAACCTCAAATGCTGCTTTGGAGATCTAAGACTTAATTGACTGAAAATTTTTTACTTTAGATAGTTGGACATAATGTTTTCCTCATGTGCATGTGAATAAATGAACCAAAATTCAGGATGGTACTCAAGATTAGTGTGATAGTTAATTTGATGAACCAGTGTTTCTTTGGCAAGGCTGTCTACTTGAGCGTTTCTTACCATGCCTCTTAAAGGGATATCTTTCTCATCCTCCAGCGTTTAAATTCTCTGGAAGCAGTTCCCAAATAAGGGGAACAGGGACTTACTGAACATAAGCTTTATTCTGCAGTCTATTCAGTCTGATTCTGTATCTTTAACTCTGCATATTACCATGTTACTAAGAAGTCAGTGTCCTATATTGGTCTTGAGTGTTAGCCATCAAAACCTAGTTATAAGTGGGTTGTAGACTGGTACATTTTTAGCTTAAGCATCATCTTTTGTAAGGCTGCAGAAACAAAAACATTCTATTCTTCCTCATGTCCTGAAGAGATCAGTAGCAGATGATGTCATAAACCTTAGGAAGCTGTGACTTAAGCCATCAGAAGGACATACTCCTAACACATTAGATAGATATTGCCTTGTGGTGCAGAACATGAGTTCCAGTATCTGTTCAGACTTGTCCAATCTTTAATTTATAGCAGAATATTCATAAGTCTATGAAAATATTCGTCAATTACTTGTCAGTGAGTCCTAGAAAAAATGTTCGTGAGAGGATTCTGAATTACTTGCTGGAGAAAATTACACATTTTGTCTTTATATTAATGTGAAGTTTGTACATGTTTCCTGTAGAATACCTGCAGAGGATGAGAGAGAAAAGCATTCTTTTCTTCTGTTGTTTAATAAATTTTCTTGTTAAGTGTGAGGAGCTTCTGTGTTGGCAGCTTAAAAAAAGTGCTGGCTTGTCATCAGTAGTGCAAAAGTGCTTAAATTCAACACATGTATAAGCTGTAACCAGTGTGTAACAGATAATCTATTCCTTTTTCACTACCAGTCTTCTATAACATATATTTGAGATATTTTTAAAACTGCTTACTGCAAAGTAGTTTTTTAGCAATGGTGTAAATATTGACCTATGGTATCACTAAGGACTTCTGAATTTTAATGTAAAACTGAGGTACTGTTGAGTTCAGCTTTTGAAAACTCAACTTCTGATTGAATAATACCAGAAATGACCCTGTATCTGGAATAAGGAGGGTAGCAGAAAAGTGAAGGTTTGGCATTAGCAGCAGCGGCATCATAGGAGTGTTTTATCCCACTGAGTATTAGAATACTATGTTATGTTTGCTATAGAAAATGAAATGTGGTCTGTCTAGTTTTGTCATCAGTAATTGAACACTTCTTGATTATCAGCCAATGGCCTTTATACAAGATCAAAACAGCCATTTCAGGTAAATACCAGATTAATTTGGCAGTGAATACATTGAAGTTCATTTATAAACAGAGGTTTCCATGAACAAAATAAATTATGCTACTGCTTTGAAGTAACCTCTATTTAAACACTTTCTGTTCCAGATCTGTACTATGGTGGAGAAGCTTTCTCTGTAGAGCAGCCACAGTCTTTTACTTGTCCTTATTGTGGGAAAATGGGTTATACGGAAACATCTCTCCAAGAACACGTTACTTCTGAGCATGCAGAAACGTCGACAGAAGTGGTAAGAAGCTTCAGAATTGGCTTTCAATTGTGGTGTAAATATATTAAAAAGAGTCTCTCTTCTGGAAGATTGTTATCATCCTGTTCTTTTTCTTTCTTGAAGCATTAGCTGATTTAAAAGCTTTGTAAGAAGACATACCTACATTTGATGGTGACATCAAAATTCTTTGTTTCATGGGTACCGTAATAGAACAAATTTGCTGTTTTCTTTTGTGGTTGCTCTTTGGTTGTCCTGATGTAAAGGCTGCTATGTTTAGGATTTTATCCTGTAAGACAGAATGTTCTTGTGGTTATTCTGTGTGGCCATGTCTCCTTTTCGCAACTAGAACGTAATTGTCCTGGAAGCTCATAGCTGTGCCAGTCTTTTGGAACTGTAAGAGAGGAAGACATGCGGTTTGGTGTCTTTTTGAAAAAGATTTTTGTAATGGACCTGGTATATTCATGTAGCAGAAGTTGTTGTTCTTTTGAAACTACTGCTGTTAAAGCAGGGAGTTTTCCCCATCCCTAACTATTAGGACACTTGACATAGTTAAAAACACGCAAACAAGTGTCAACAGAAATGCTTTAGTCTGAGGTGTTAGCTCCTTCTATTCTGTCTTTGGGAGTAGGAGACACTAGGTTAGCAAAATGACATCCAGGTTGCTCTTGTCTGGTTAACTGTTGTACCGTAGATTCCTAGCAAAATGTGACTGCTTTAAGTGGATTACACGTCACTAATACATTGTGAGGAAATTACTCATGAATAGGTTCTCTATTCTAATCTTCCAGTTTTCTTAACTTCCAAGTAATTCATGGAAGAAGATGAACCTTTCCTCTCCAAGCCTGTTAAGGATCTTGTGTGAAGGATTGATAGGGGAGATGGTTTGCCCACCTTTTTGGGACTCAAAGGTGCTCAGATCTTTCTTAAAAACATGAAGTGGAACAGTTTACTTCACAATCAATTGCACTATAGGATCATAATGAACTTAGTGATACACTGCAATTTTTATCATTACTTGAATTTTTCTTTGACTTTGCAACTTTCAAACATAGCATTGACCATTTTAAGTTCCACATTTGGATGACTTGAGTTGCTTAGTATTGCAGTTCTGATTTGCACCAGTTGATGTCAGTGATATGTTCCTGATACAGAGCTTTAAGATTATGTGGTTTTAAATTTGACACGTCCTTGTTTGCAGCTGTGGCTTCTAGAACTCAGTACACGAAGCCTAAATTGCTGATTCTAGACGCATGCTACACTACTGGCTCCTGAAAGAGTATTTTAAAAAAAAAAATTCTTTCCTTTCTGTCAGTCTGCTAGGTCGTTATATCTTTTTGTTCTGAACAGTGATAAAGGGCAATATTTTAATCCTTGAATATGATTGTATATGTTTGTGCTAAGTTTTATATCTAGCTTTTGTGATAAATGTTTAGTGTGCATGCACATAAAACTGCTTGGGTACTTTGGTTTACAGGGGTGGAATCGCTTTTATTTTACAGTCGTCCCTCTGCCCCCTGTTTTTCAGAGTAAGTCAGAGAATTTTTGGTCCATAAAATTTTGCCATTTTTATTTTCAGAGTGGTGCAGATAGGTTTACTTTCTGCTGATTTTTCTCAGGTGTTTGACATGGTAGGTACAGCAATGTTAGGTACTTGCAGGCAGGAGTCACAGACTGACCGAAGTTGGAAGGGGCCTGTGGAGGTCATCTTGTCCAGCCCTCTGCTCAAGCAGGGCCAGCTACAGCCAGTTGCCCGGGGCTGTTTAATATCTCTGAGGATAAAGACTCCATAGCCTCTCTGGGCAACCTGTGCCAGTGCTCAGTCACCCTCACAGTGGAAAAAAATGTTACCCAATATTCAGGAGGAACCTCCAATGTTTCAGTTTGTGACCATTGCCTCTGGTCCTGTCAGTGGGCACCACTGATAAGAGCCTGGCTCCATCCACCTGACACCCTCCCATCAGGTATTTATGTACATTCATAAGACCCGTCCACAGCTTGCTGTTCTACAGGCCGAACAGTCGCAGCTTTCTCAGCCTTTCCTCATAGGAGAGGTGCTGCAATCTCTTAATCGCCTTGTACCCCTTTGCTGGACTCTCTCCAGTATGCACACATCTCTTGTATGCTGTACACAGAACTGGACACAGTATTCCAGGTGTGGCTTCACCAGTGCTAGATAGAAGCAAAGGATTACCACTCTGGATGTACTGGTAGCACTCTTCCTAATGCAGCCCAGGAGCTTTCTTTGGTGCAGGACACATTGCTGGTTCAAGGTCCAGCAGGACCCCCAGGTTGTTTTCTGCAAAGCTACTTTCCAGCTGGGTGGTCTCTGGTGTATGCTGGTGCCTGGGGTTGTTCCTCCCCAGGGGCAGGACTTTGCACTGCCCTTTATGAACTTCATGAGGATTTCTACAGCCTGTTGATGTCCTGCGGAATGGCAGCACAGCTCTCTGGCATATCAGCCACTCCTCCCAGTTTTGTGTCATCAGCAAAAGTCCCATTGATGATGACTCTGAGCCCAGCTGTTAAGCCGGTTTCTACTCTGCCTCACTGTCTGCTTATCCAGCCTGTCCATCAGTAGCTTATCTATGAAGATCCTGTGAGAGGCACTGTCAAAGGCCTTACTGAAGTCCAGGTAGACAATATCCACTGCTCTCCAGTCATCTACCAGGCTAGTCACTTCATCATAGAAACTTATGAAGTTGGCCAACCATGGCTTCCCCATGAAGCCATACTGACTACCCTTGATGATTTTCTTGTCTTTAATGTGCCTGGAAATGGTGTCCAGGATTAGCTGCTCCATCACCTTCCCAGGGATCAACGTAAGTTGACAAGCCCATAGTTTCCCAGGTTCTCCTTCATACCCTTCAAGGTAGGACTGACACTTGCTTTAGTCCAGTCCTCGGGTACTTCTCCTGATCATCATGATTGATGAAAGATTGAGACCAGCCTCGCAATGGTGTCTGCCAGCTCCCTCAGCACTTGTGGGTGCATCCTATTACAGCCCATGGACTGAAGTACTTATGTCCAGTTCACTTAAGCATTCTCTAACCTAATCCCCTTCCACCAGGGGAATGTCTTTCTTGATCCAGACTTTCCCCCTGGTCTCTGGGGCCTGGGGTTTGTGAATGCCAGTCTGTAACAATGCTTCAGTAACTTTTCCCAGTCAGAGTTCTTGGAAGTTTAGTTTGTGTTTACAGTGAGGGTTAGGATATTTAGATTTCCTCCTTCTCATTGTTCCTTATAGCTTTTTCTTAGCTGATGTTTTTCTGAGGACTGTGCATTTTGTTTTTAGGCGAATGTGAGCAGTTCATAACACTTTTGTCCTGTTAGCAAAGGAACTTTCTTTTGCTTTGCTGCTTTCAGAGTGTGTTGTTCTTCGCATGTTGGGGTTCTGCTTCCTCAGAGTAGCTTAAGAAAAAGCTTAGAAAAATGCAAAAAGATTGCTTTGAAGGTATTGTCTCCTGTTGGTATGAAACACATTCTTGAAGAGTTAGCAGCTTGTAAATAAGATTATGGACTTAAGAACCATCTGTCCAGTAGACGTCCATTCTTATGACCCTACAGGGTATGCTATGTTGGCATAGTTGAGTATTACATTACACTGTAATAAGATGTCTTTGCACTTTAGTGTGTCTGCTTGTATGGCTTCTGTAGTGGTGAAAAATCTGGGAGGAGGAGTTCTCTGAAGAGAAGTGCTGAACACTGAAAATAAAGGGGAAAAGGCTGTAACAAAAAGCTTTTGAAATGCCTTGGTTTTGTGCTCAGAGCTGACTACTAAAATTAAAGCAGCGTTAAAGATGTGGCAGCTGCTGTCAAAAGCAGCTGAGATTTTACAGTAAACATACTTCAAGACCTTGTCCTCACCTCCGTAAGAGTAAGACAGATATGTGTGCTGTTGGACAGGTGTTCTTAAAAGTCCATGGTCTGAGATCTGCTGTCGACAACTTGAGTATATGCATGAAGAGCACTGGGAACCTGGCTTTATGTTGCAGCCAGAGTTGCTCCGTAAAGACAAGACTGTTTGACTGAGGAACAGAGAAATAAATTCATAGACAGCAGTTGCATTTAACTGTCGAAGTGCTGTTAATTAGAGCATTTAACATTTGGGGGAAGAATTCTGTGGATTGGAATTTTTATTTTGTCTGCCAGCTGTAGAACCCTTAAGATCAGTCTGCAAAACTACTGTAAAGAAAAATGGAAGATGCTTTTCAAGCCGTTTGTGGGGTCATTGAAAAGATGAGTCATATGTCGATTGTAATGGCACTGTTTGTCTACTTAGTTAACATGTGTTTGGGTTTTAAAACAAAACAGCAAAACCCAAACCAAAGACAGGTGTCAGTGCCTTCTCACAAAGTACTGTTGTGCAGGGATATGGAGAGTAGCCCTTCTCTGCCAACCCTGTAGTTGTGCACCACCTGGGTGGGTGGTCTTAGTGTGATACTTCAGCAAATAGGTGTGGTTTCATTCTGATTCCTGTGCTGGGATGAGTGTCAAGCCAGCAAATAGTAAACCCATGTAATCAGACTCTACTGTCTGTGGCAGAATTGGCGTACAGAGGCTAATTTTCAAGACACTGCAAACTGAATTTGAAAATTCTACATTTGGTTTTCATACCGTTCTGAAAATTGTAAAGTAAAAGATGTCTAAATTAATGTCTGCACTTGAATGTGTGTTCTGGTTTTTTTGACTGTGTTGCTGTCCAGGTATTTGAAAATCATATTCTAGGTATTCGCAAAGCATAAGAATCAATGTCAAGTGATTGACTTGATAGGAATTCTGTTTTGTATAAAATTTATAAAGTTGAGTTTTCTTGCTTTGTCTTTTCAGATTTGTCCAATATGTGCAGCATTACCTGGAGGGGATCCAAATCATGTCACAGATGACTTTGCAGCTCATCTTACACTGGAACACAGAGCTCCTAGAGATTTAATATCCTTTCCAAGTTGAGGGAAAGA